ATGGAATATAGAAATGTGTATATCAATTAGCCCAAACCATAGCTTATATATAAGAATGAGTGGTCTGGATTGAAATTAATTTAATGGCTATCAAAATTTTACTATGCTAATATTAGTATATGGCATCATAGCTATACATTTAGACCTCACAAAAGAAAAAATATAATAGATATTTATTGTAAACTATCATTATCCTCAAGTTTAGTTGCCATTGTTTGGCCTTAATTATGCTATATCAAAAATCTAAAGAGAAAAATTAAAACCAAAAATTTATATTGACTTATTAATAGCCATTCTAAACCATGATTTATCTCAATAAAAATCAAGTAAGACATATGTAAAGGTGCATGGCTTAACTTGTATCTAAAGGTTTTTTTCAATCTTAAGATTTTATATGGTAAAAGAGATTATGAGTAGTTTTATTTACCATTTAATTTGAGATTGAAAATACTTTTCCAGTAGTTGTATTTTTTAACATAAGTATACCTGAATTAGCCACATATAAAACAAGACCAAGCATAATACAATATAATTTCTTGCAGTCTAGTTTTACTAGCCAAACTACACCATTATCACCCCATATCCCAACTTTACCAGTGATTAATACTTGTAAATAACAATTTTTATCTTTATTTTCAGTTTTTGTTGACCAATTGTTAAAACTTTTCTTAATATCATGAATCACAAGATTGCAATTCTCATATAATGTAAGCTTATATTTATAATTTTCTGAAACAATACTATTCGTTGAGGTTATATAAGATCCTATCATCTTTAAATTTCCAGCTTCTAATATATAATTATAAGGCCAACATTTTACAAAATCAGAATGAATATTACTAATTTCTTTCCTTTCTATTCCTAACTTTTGTAACACATTCCATTTGAGAGAAGTGGAGGTAATTTTGGTTGTGGTGGTTGATTATGATTTCTTGTTGGATTTGAAACTGTGAAATAATCTACAAGAAAATATGGCATAATAACTTGAATGTGTCCATAAGCTCTAGCTTGTGCAGCAAATTCAACCAAATCAACCATTTCTTTATATGCTTCTAATAGTAATCTACCAGTAACAAATATTCTTTCTCCCTTAGGAGATTCTACACTACATTGTGCAGATATTCTTTCACTTTGTGCAAAGGTTTTAAACCTCATGTAAGTCAAAGGAACTCTAGTAGGATACCCCCATGCAATGCCAAGTTCATATCTACTTTCATTATGAATACCTGCCATAGTGGGTAAATATCTCATTGATGCAATTATTATATCTATATGTGCATTTGAAAAATGAAGTGGCAATATTGCTATACTAATTTGAAGTTGATATTGGCAAATAGATATTAAGGATGTTAAAACTGTTGCTACTAAATTCCACATAATATAGATATTAAGTAATTATAAATTATAGGAAATAAATAGTACTTAACTAAAATAATATATACTGTACATAACAATATTCAAAATATAAGGGTTAAATCCATTTTATAAAACCTATGGCTCTAAACAATTCTAGTCCATCTAAGTTAAATTATAGCTTATTAGAGAAGAGAATAATTCTACAAATTCATATCTATATAATTTAGTGGTTATTAATTTATAGATTATTATTATTAGTGTTTTATACAGGTACAATTAAAAATAAATATAAATTAAATATATGAGTGATTTGGAATAGGTATATAACCTTGCTTATATGCAGTGATGGATGGATCAGGTTCAATATCAACTGGATGGTCTATATGTGATACTACTATAATTAACATATTACTCAAACAAAATAATACATGCATATATGTACATATATTTTTAGATCTTACACCATAAAAAATGAAATGGTGATGATAATAAGTTAGGTGGAACATTTAGAGCTTCTTTTGGGCAATTATTAATTGGAACAAGAACTTAAAGTTCTCACAGAACTACCAATATAGTTGTTGATAACCATGATATAAGAAATGCCCAAAACCATGGCATAAGTATTAATTAACTATAAAATCTTGATAACTAGCTACAACTTTGTATGCAATTGTCAAATGCTTGAACTAACCTTAAAGTGATAATTTTGAACCAAACCAAGGGACTTCGGGAGCCACTAATCCACAATACATCATTGTAGTAAATAATATATTTTGTCTCTAATTTACTCATTAGCCACCATTGAGAAAAGTATTAACTTGGATTTGGTTAACGCCCACTATTGATAATCCAGCTGTGCGCCGTG